GGGGTGTAGGTTCCAAAACATATCTTGATTGATCGAGTTCGTCGAATGTGGAAACCTAGAGATCCTATGAAGGTGACCCCACTTAGGAATGATTAATATATTGTGTCTTTTACTAGTCGAGAAGATAGGGACGACGCTTTCTAGGAAGGGCCTTGGATGATTGATGATCATTACTTAATTGTGTAATGGAGACCGAATTTTAACCTGTGAAAAGCAGATGTGCAGCATAAGATAGCGGCATGGGTTCGTATTCCTGATCTTCTGATGGAATTCTACAATGTGGAATACCTAGGAATTATTGTAAACATGATAGGAAAAACTATCGAAATGGATCACTCTACTTCAATTTATGATAAAGGGGGGTTTGCTCGTATTTGTGTCAAAATTGATCTTCATCAACCTCTGTTACTGGCTTTCATGGCATTTGGTGAGGAGTGGCAATTAGTTTATGAGGGTCTTCATCAGGTATGCTTTCAGTGTGGAAAATATGGCCATAAGAAACATCAATGTCCCCAGGCTCTAAACTCGTTCGGCACAGAGAATGGGAGTAATAGTGCAGGGAATGAGAACGAATGAGGGAAGAAATTACAGTCTCCGGTGGCCGGAATTATGACAATGATAGCAGATACACACTTAGGACCCAGATGTTGGTTAGCTGAGATTTCTGACACAATATTGGGGTGGCGGGAAAAAGGGATATGATGGAGGATATATAGGAGAGGAAAAGAAGGGATATGATGGAGCGAATAAAGGAGCAGATCATAAGGGATATGGAGAATAACAAGGGGAAGACTGGGAATCAATCAAGGACCAAGAGAGTTTATAGACCTGTGGGAGAGAAGAAGGATAAACAAGAGAAAAAGTCAACTATATTTAGTAATGATCGAATATTTGGGGATACGAGGAAAAGAGAATGACTTGGAAAAGGCAAAAAGTCAACATAAGTAAGGGATCAATCTTAACGAGCAGCCTGTGGAATTGTTCAACCCATTTACCTCCCTTCAAACTAGACTGTTGGAGGGTGAGGCCCAAAACCAATCCCTTGAGTTTGATCATATCAATACTGGGCCAAACCCAATTACACGAAACTCTTTTGGACCCAACGACACACAAGCTGTACAAAGCATGGCTCGTTTATTTCTACTGAATCGTGAATCTGATGTTAATGCATCAAGGATACAAGATGGGGATATAATGATAAGTGGGGTCCACGAGCATGTTTTACAAAGCGAGATTATGCATACTCAGATGGATGTTGTCCAAAAGAGGGACATTGAAATTTCCTAGACACCTACTATTGTTTCTTTATGAATTTCATGATTTAGAATTCCATGGGTACAAGCGCGAAGACATTTCCCAGCCTAATACAAGAACTTAAAAAACATTTTTGTTTGGATTTTCTTGTTTTGGTTGAGACTCGATCAAATAAAAAAAAACTGAAAGTCGAATTGGGAGATTTGGTTTTCAAGATTATACTTATATTGCAGCAGAGGGGTACAGTGGTGGAATTTGGTGTCTCTGGAATAGTGGGGTTTGTAAAGTTGAAGTGATGGAATGTCACCATCAATTCTTGCATTTATACATTGAAAATTCTAGAATGGAACGTTGTTTCTTTACTGTTATTTACGCTAGTCCTCCCGTGGTGGGTCACTGTATCTTGTGGGAGGAACTTCAACATCTTGAACGTGACATACATGAACCGTGGGTTATAGGGGGTGATTTTACTGCGACACTCTTTTCTTCTGAGAGATGCAAAACTACTCCTAATGGCACAACCATTGACTATGATTTCAGCACGTGGTATGATGAGTCTTCATTTACGGATATTGGCTTCGTGGTGCCATGTTATATATGGAAGAGGGGTAGCACCGAAGCGCGTCTTGATCGGTTTCTTGCTAATGAAGCTTGGTGTCACCTTTTTCCTAATGCTAGAGTCTCTCATTTGCCCTCATACAAGTCAGATCATCACCCCATCCTTCTCCAACTGGATCGTTGTGTTGAACGTCGTAGTCGACCGTTCCGGTTTATTGCTTCGTGGGTCCTCTACGAGGATTTTAGCGAGTTCATTCTGGATAATTGGATTGATGATATTGAGTAGAACCAGAACTTGAATCAGTTTGCATAGGCTTGTAGCTCCTGGAATAGACATGTCTTCGAGCATACAAAAAGAAGGAAGAGAAAACTGTTAAGGCGTATGGATGGAATCAACATAGGTTTGGAACACGACTTAAACAGTGATTACTATGAAGAGATTTTAGTTTAGTCATGGAAAGAGTTTGAGGAAGTCTTGGTTCAAGAGTCCCTTTTATGGGCACAAAAGGCAAGAGTGGACTGGGTGTATACGGGGATAGGAATATGAAGCTCTTCCATTCTCGAGCAAATAAGCGACGAAAAATAAATAAAGTGGATGCTATCCGTTTGGAGAGGGGAGAATGGTGCTATGACCTTGAGGTATTAAAACGAGAAGCTACCTCTTTTTCTGCTTCCTTATTTATTGAAGATCTTTCTTCAAGAGACCCGCTGCGCTGTGATGTTCACTTTCTGGAGCTTGATGACGTAGAAGTGTGTCCTTGTGGTCGGTATGTGGAAGAGTCAGAAGTTAAAGAGGAGCTGTTTAGTATGGGAGCACTGAAATCGCCAGATCTGGATGGTTTCAAAGCTTTTTTTTTTTTTTAATCAAACTCAATAGGATACGGTTAGGAATTCGGTAGTAAGCTATGTCAAGCATATTTTCTCTAACCCAGTAGATGTTAAAAAGATCAATGGGACTTTTGTTGTGTTAATCCCTAAAAAAGACCCTCCAGCAACATTCAAGGATCTTCGGCCCATCAGTCTTTGTAATGTGGTTTATAAAGTGATTATCAAAATTGTGGCCAATACATTGAAAGTTTTTCTTCCTCTCGTAATCTCCCCCAATCAATGTGGTTTTGTCCTCGGCACCATGGCTCAGATAATATTATAGTTGCTCTAGAGGTTATTCACTCCATGCGTTCTATGAAGGGGAAAAAAGGTTTTTATGGCCATTAAGATCGATCTTAAGAAGGCTTATGATTGAGTTAATTAGGATTTTTTGATTCAAAGTTTGAAGGAAATGAATATCCCCTCTAATATTACTACCCTTGTTGAGAGTTGCATTAGTTCGGCTTCTTTGCAAGTCCTTTAGAATGGCAATAAAGCGGAGGCCTTCAATCCCTCAAGGGGGGTACGACAAGGGGACCCAATGTCTCCTACCTTTTTGTCATCTACATGGAAAAGCTCACTCATCTTATTCAAGAGAATATAATTAAAAAGGCTTGGCGGCCAATCTGACTTACTAAGAATGGCCCACCTATTTCGCATCTCTTCTTTGCGGATGATATTATTCTATTTGCGGAGGCCTCTCTGGAGCAAGCGAACCTGATTAAGAACTGCCTAGATACTTTCTGCAGCTCCCTTGGTCTGAAGGTTAATTTTTTGAAGACTCATGTTTGTTTCTCATCCAATGTTAACCATAACAGGTGTTCGGAAATTAGTGCCTTTTTGGGATTCACCTCAACGGTTGATTTAGGCAAGTATTTCGGAGTTCCACTTCTGCATAAGAAGGTAAATAAAGAATCTTTTAAAGAGATTGTGGATAAAGTGAAGTATCATCTTGACCAGAGGAAAACGACTTCACTGTCCCTCGCTAGGAGGACTACTTTAATTAGCCCGGTGTCTTCTGCTATCCCGAGCTATGCTATGCAAACGACATCTCTCACAGCTACTTCATGGGACACCCTTGACAAGCTTAATCAGAATTTTCTCTGGGATCATACGAAAGAAAGGAAGAAGGTCCCTCTAGTGGCTTGGGATGCTATTTGCCAACCTAAACAAAAAAAGGGTCTCAGTCTGAGACATGCCAAGCTGCAGAATCATGCACACCTTATGAAAATTGGCTGGAAACTAGTGCATTGTCGTGATGATTTCTGGGTGCGAGTAGTTCGAGATAAATACTGATGTGGCAACGATCTTCTGCCAAAGATTGACATAGAGCAAAATGGGTCAAATGTATGGGTGAGTATCAAAAAGACATAGAAAAAGGCAGAAGATGGGATAGAACTTCTTGCTAATAGGGCTATGGCTAGATGGAAGCACGATCGTAGTGGAGTGCTCACAGTGAAGTCGGTGTATAAACAGCTCACTATTGCTGACTCTGCTATGGATCCGCTTTGGGGACATATCTGGAAGCTCCGTGCACCCCAACGATGTCATACAACATTATGGCTTGCAGCTAGAAAGGGTCTTCTAACTAATGCTAATGCAAACGAAGCATGTCGAATGATGATATATGCCCGATCTATAAAGGAGAAACTAAAAGTGTTCTGCATGTATTCTGGGACTATTATGAGATGAAGCTTTTATGGAGCAAACTCATTCACCGTTCAAAGTGGAAGTTGTTTTTTGACTCTACTTTAACGCTGCATGAATGGCTAAGAAGGAATATATCTACTCAAGCAATAAATGGAGAAGATTGGAAGGAGCTTTTCTCTGTCATATGCTGGTGGCTTTGGCGTAAAAGAAATCTCTTTGTGTTTCAAGGACAAAAGGTTAATAATGACGCTATTATGGCAAATTCTATTGCTCTCCTGGACAGCCTGAAGCAGACCCAATGTCATTTATCTGGGGCCTCTCTCTTGGGTATTTGTTTACACACTAATAACCATGGTTGGCAACCCCTAGCTCAAGGATGGATCAAGTTGAATGTAGATGGAGCCTTTTCCCCCACAAGTCTTGCATTTGCATGTGGTGGTCTTCTTCGGAATAAGGCTGGTAATTCCATTCATGGGTTTATCTACATAGTAGATGACGGAGATGCACTCCATGCAGAGTTATAGGCATGTCTCCATGGACTAAAACTTGCATGGGATAGTGGACACCGGCAAATTACGCTGGAATCTAACTCCGGCAGTGCACTGGAACTTATCGCAGCCCATCCAAACGAACACCATATGGATTATCGTGTTCTTTAGGAGATCAGATCGATGCTGCACAAGGAATGGGATGTTAAGACACAACATGTTCGAAGGGATAATAACAAAGCAGCTGATTATCTTGATAAGGAGGGTCTTACAGTTTTGTGTGGCCTTCATGTAGTTACTTCTACACCTACTGCATTGCTGGCTATTATAGAGGTTGATCGCGAAGTTTTGTGCAACTACGGCGGACTGATGGAAAGCTTCCCGTTTTATCCAAAAAACAAAAAAAAAAAACTAAAAGCTGATGTTTATAACTACCTATGGGATGGATCAACTAACTTTTCTGGACATATGAGCTACAATAACAACCTAATCACATATTGTTAGCATGTTCAAGTGTAAGTAAACTTAAGTTAATATACGATGTTTCCCACCAGATAAAATTGGGCTTAGTGAGTAATATATAGTAAAGTGAAATTAATGACTCATAAAATTGAGCCTTAAATTATGAGTTAAGGTGTGATGTTCTTTACTAGTTTATTATTCCTTTATTTTGAGTTTTGCTCCCTATTTCTTACCTATGTCTGGTACGAGGGAGTTAGGGTGTGTAGATGGAATGGAAGAGAAAATTTTAATAAACTTAATTTTTTAAAAAATTAGGGAAGTGAGGTTGTAAAATTTTAATAAAGGAAAGATGTAAGATAAAAGAGTAAGCAAAATTAGTTAAAAGCTCTTAACCACAGTTCTTTAATTGTTTTTTTTAAAATAGAGTTCATTAAAATTTTCTCCTCTCTCCTATTTCTTTTATTTTCCTCGTACCAAATGGACCTTCAAACTTAATAAGTAACATCTAATAGGTGAAAAGACCCATAAATTTAAGTCCCAGGGTTGCAAAGATGTCGTGTCAACTACTTATCACCCATTTATTTATTCTCTCCCCCTATTCCAAGTTTCACTCCCCTCCCTTATCCGTATAATGTCCTAACGAGTAAAGCAATATTTAACATAGTTGAAAAATAGTCAATCTTTTTCATAAAAAATTTATATTTTGAAAATTTTAAAATAAAAATGAAAGGACTAATTAAAAAACCCTTTTATACATCCTCTTAATAAAGAGTGATATTTTGAAATCTGAAGTAGGAGATGGAGAGAAAATATGTTCGAAGAGAGCAAGATTGAAAGGAAGAAGAGGTAGAGAGAGAGATAATTAAAAAAGACTTATCTTTATAGTTGTAAGTACACATCGCTCGTAACACTCAAAGTTATATACAACAGTAAGTTTGACATTTTTATATTATTCTCATAATTTCATCATCACAGAAGGATCAATATGCCAGTTTAATTCCCACCTAGACGACTAATCATCTAGTGATTGCGAGTCAAGCAGCAATATTGTTATTGGGTTGCTCGATCAATCAAAGTAAAATAAAGAATCAAAATACAGATGCCATTTGGAATAAAAATCTCCTCAAGAAAGGATAATCAAGTAATTTCCAGAAAGCACAAATCATCCTATAAATTTGTGCTCCATCAAGTCTTAGAGTATCCATTGAGAATTTTGGTTTAGGTTCAATGGCGGACAAACTAGGAAATCAGAAGACTTGGATGGTGAGTATGATTTTCTTCTTGTTGTTGTGTTTTGTTCACATGACAATGGCAGGTCAAGAAACAGTCAACAAAGCTAAGGAACTAGAGGTTGAGCAACTTTTGAAGAGGTTGAATAAACCAGCCGTTAGATCCATTAAGGTTACAGTTTAGCTCCCTTCCACTATTTTTGGTTAATTATGATTGACATTTAAATTCAAAAATTTGACCACTATTCATTCAATTTTAACTTTGTGTTTGACTACCAATTTGCAAACTTAGTTTCATTTTATGTGAAAGAAGAGATTATATGATTCATTATGCTTTGGCAGTTAACGTTCTTATATAGTAGAATATCAAGAACATGCATTATGCTAATTTTTGTCGAGTTCCACTTAAGAAGAAATTCATATATTTCTGGGTTATCATTATAATCGACTGCGTACATATTTTAAATCAACCAGCTTTGGATCATCCGAAGTCGAAGAATCACAAAATTCAGGTAAAATAATTTATTTTGATTATTTTTCCTTTTTGTTATATAAATTGGATTTTCTCGCCTACAATTCTGAGGCTAATAATTGTATTCTATATTCGATGAAGATGAGGCCAACATTCTATCCAAAAAGAAGCAATTTTTCACAATCAAACCCAATTGCTCAATTGTGGCACCAAAGTGGAAATTGTCCAAAAGGAACCATTCCGATAAGAAGAACAACAAAAGATGACGTATTGAGGGAAGATTCTATCCGTCAATTTGGGAAGAAAATCAACCAGACCATTCCTGATCTGTCTGGATCATTATACTCTAGTAATGACCACGAGGTACTAATATTGCCAGTTATAAATTTCTACAGATTAAAAAAAAAAGATAGAAAATCAGTATGCAAGTCCCTCGCTATAATATTTTCACCTCATTTTTAATTCAGTTCTAATTATAGTTTTTCCTTTTCATATGGTCCTTATAGTTCCCTTAATAATAGGTATTAGTCCCTATGCTCATTATTTGTTAGTTTGTAAGAGGAAGGGCATGACTAACCATAATGACATGGTTCTCATATGCGCTCGACATGCATCTGAATTAATTTACCATGTTGATTTAAATACAATCATCAAAACCAGCCAGATTAGATTATATAAGGATGCGTAAGGAGACAACTATGAACATAACAATGTATTTTTATGTTGATAATAAAGAAATTTTATTTTTCCAAAAACTTTTTTATTTTGTATTTTGTGACAACTTACTTGCATTTTTAGTTAGTATTCACATAAGCTCTAATTAACAGATTATTAGCATAAGAACTAAAACCTATAATTGGGACCTAACTAAACATCCAGTGAAACCATAAGAACTGGCCAATTAATTTTTCCCAAAAGACTTGTTTGTGTAGGAGTTTTACATGTATAGATTATATCATTATATTTTTTTGTTGTTTCGTTGTGTTTGGTGCCTCTAGTATGCCATAGCTGATTTGAGAGGAGATAGATATTATGGAGCCCAGGCATCCATAAACATTTGGAAGCCCCATGTTCAAGAATCCAATGAATTTAGCCTCTCTCAAATTTGGATTGTGAATCGTGATGATTCTAATAAGGTTGAGACCATCGAATCTGGTTGGCAGGTATATATACTTGTATATGTATATATATTCCATATATAATTTCTTTGACATCACATGCACATGGATGAGTACATTTCTATATTTCTTTTCAAGGAATACTATTTTTGATCTGTCTGTTCCTTGGTTTAGAAAATCAGATCTATCAAGGACTATATGGGGATGATAACCCCAGACTTTTTATATATTGGACAGTAAGTTGAAATCTCTCTTACCAACCTAGCTATAATTTCTTGTGTCCTCAAATAATTGTATTTGTTGTTATATATGAATTAATTACTGTTATTATTTTTAATACACACACACACACACCCCTTTTTCTTGCCCACAGAGCGACTCATATGACCGCACTGGATGTTACAATCTTGGCTACTCTGGCTTTGTTCAAGTTGATAATAAAGTAGCAGTTGGAGGCAGCCTGCAACCATTCTCTGTATATGGTGGTTCTCAATATGCATTCTCCATCCTTATCTGGAAGGTAAGGTCGTTTTGAAAACAGAAAACCAAACAAGTGTACATAAATGATTAATTTTATTGGCTCAAACATACAAGTTAAATGGCTAAAACTTGAAGAACTAAGGTAAATGAGCTAAAGTTCATTCATTGAGTTATAACCAAATCAAAAGTACATAAATGATCAATTATGATTAACCCGTTCTTTTTCCTTCTTGCAATCGAGAAAATCGGGTAAAAAGTTTCTATTTGAAAATTTTATTGGCAACAAAGATCTTATATATTTTTAGGCATAAAAAGTACGGGTACTTTGTAGGATTTCATAAACAGACGATACTTATACTCAAATTTAGATGTTTCTAGTAAATAAAATTTCTAAATAAGGACTGTTCACCGATTTTCTCTTCGTGATAAAACATATAGCCCTTGAGAAATCCAAACAATTCATATCAGCAGTAATAAACTGAAAGAAACCCTAATGGCATAATATCATATGAATCCCTGTTATTGGGAAAAAATATAACAATAATTATGATGATGGATGGGGCAGGATCCACGAAGTGGAAACTGGTGGATGTTACTTGGGAATAGTATATTTGTGGGATATTGGCCCGCTTCTTTGTTCAATCATATGTCTGGGAGTGCATCAAATGTGCAGTGGGGAGGTGAAATAGTAAACAGAAGGTCTTATGGCCAGCACACCACAACAGGAATGGGAAGTGGTTATGTCCCTCAAGCAGGTTTTGGAAAGGCTAGCTTCCACAAGGACGTTTCTACTGTTAATAGAAATAATCATCTTGTGTCTCCAAGTAATTTTGACACTTACGCTAGCAATGCCAAGTGCTATGATATTACCCCATTTGGTCATTCTAATGACTGGGTGGCCTACTTCTTCTATGGAGGTCCTGGAAGAAACCGAGACTGTCTGAAGAAAAACTATATGAGAAGTTTAAAAAGTCTAAATCTATCTAGTTGTGTCAAGGGAATAAAGAAAGGAATTGTGGCGTGAGTATTATAACTGCGTGATGGGATCTGTATCAGATAAGGCTTGATAAAAACAAGTCTTCATAATTAAGAATGTAATATTATGTAGTGGGACATTATGCAATGTCATATTGTGATATCCTTTGACCCAGAAAAATCATATTGTGTTACTAGCTTCAGTTTTTAATATAAAACCTACTTGACTAATTTGGAGAGATTAAAAAAGTTAATGCTTTTGCATTAAAACAACAAAAGAGTACATACAACAGAAACTAACAGCCCTATCCTTCATCAACATCTGTCTCCTGAGCAAGAAATGGAGGTTGATCAAGGAGCAAAAATTTCCTAATCCTATGAGCCAACTTAGCAAGCCTATTAACAATAGTTAGATGATCCTTGTACACACGAGTAATGTTAACTTGCCAATCTCTATAAATATTAAGTCTGGCCTCATCCACCACATTCTTAAAAGGGTGATCTCTATCACAGCCTCTAAGGCAAAAATTAATCGCTTTGATACAGTTAGAGAGTAAAATGATTTTCCTGTGGCCGTATATGAATCTAATTAGCTCTACAATGGCCTGTGGAACTGCAATCAGTTTACAACTAAATCCAAAAATGCATCTGTCATGTGAGAAAGCTACTAAATGACTTTAAAGTATTTTATATTTATTATTTTTTTCCAAACTAATTTAACTCACTTTTGATTTATAATCTAATGATATATATAAGTATTTATAATTAAGTAATTTAGTAATTTTTTTAATTTCTCCAAATTAGTTAATTGGATCTTATATTAAGGACTGGAATATGTGCATACAATGCAAGGGTTCTGCATACACACACACATAAATATATGTGTGTGTATTGTATCATAATATTGACTGATTTTATAAATTACTTTTATATTTCACAAAAAAAATTAATTTTATGATTATTAAAAAAAATTTATTTAAAGTTTCAAATGGATTGGTTCTTAAAATAATGATATTATGGAAAAAAATAATGGGTAATAGATTACTACTCTTTTTTTTTTCTAAAAAATATTTCTTATCCCACGGATTATCTTCAGTAAATATGATACTTTAAATGAAGATAATTGCAACATTGTTAATAAATAAATATTTTTATGTTAAAACTTCTTATTTTTTGTATTGGGCCTAACTTGGCCAGTACTTGCCCATCTCAATCCAGACCCAGTCATCCCCAAGCTAGGGTTAAACATGAGCTGCAATGGTCGGACTCGACCAAACCAATCCATACACCGACATGCAAGTCTCTCCTTGTTGTACGAGGAAAATTTTCTCTTTATAACCAATTGAAACACATGAAAAAAATTTGTAAGAGGTGCTTTTTTATTATTTGCAAATTGCAAGTCTTTTTTACAGATTTTGCAATCATCCTTAGTTACTTTTAAGGATTTTTCACATTTGGCAACTTTTACTTTTCAAAATAAATTATAGATTAAATGACCAAACATTTATATATATTTACCGTTAAATAAACCAAATCCCGATGTGGAAAGAGAGGAATTAATCAAATCCCCATGATTGCTGGGTTAGGAATCCCCTTGATCTAGACATTAAAAAAATTTCCTTTATTCGATGCATTTTTTAATCCTTGTTACCAGATTCATCTTGCAAGGAAAATCTTGTCAAGAAGGATAATACAAAATAATTTGAGATTGTAATAGCACAAATCAGCCTATAAATTCCTGTGTCATTATCTTGAATAACCACTTGGGAACTTCCACAAAAGGTACTCCATATTTCTCACCAGGGCGAACAAATTAAGAAATAAGAAGACTTGGTTTGTGTTCTGCTTCCTGTTGCTTTTTGTCCAAATGACGATGGCAAATCGAAACCTCAAAGATGGTAATTCTATTCAGAAACATGATGCTCAGAAGCTTTTGAAGAAGTTGAACAAACCGGCTGTTAAGACTATCAAGGTAGACATATGCGTGTGTGTATATAAAGCAAGCAAGCAAGTGTTTTTTTTTTTTTTTGGTACTTTTACTGAAGATTTGAAATGATTTGTGGGTTTTAGAATTTACGAGGCTCTGTGCTAACAATTTGTATGATTAAATGCAGAGTCCTGATGGAGATATAATTGACTGTGTTGACATTTTAAAACAACCGGCTTTCGATCACCCAAAACTGAAAAATCACAAAATTCGGGTACGAGGTTTCCCTTTTGTTTTACTATTTCTCTGGTTCAAATTTTGAAATCAGGCAATTATTAATTATTTCTTACATGATTGAAGATGAGGCTCAGCTCTTACCCAGAAGGGATAGTATTTGAAGAAAGCAACGTGGCATCAAGATCAGCACCAATTCCTCAACTTTGGCACCAAAGTGAAAGTTGTCCAGGAGGAACCACTCCTATTAGAAGAATAACAGAAGAAGACATATTGAGGACAAGTTCTACCCAACAATTTGGGGAGAAGAATCACCAGACAAGCCATCTACCTTCATACACTGGCGGTCAACGTGTCAACGAGGTATCACTAAATGTGGTCTCTCTAATAACCAGACTACAAGCCTAGTGTGTGTTTTGTTTTGTTTATTGTAACGAGCATAAATTCTTAGGAGAATCACACCCCAAAAGCTAGCTGTTAGAGTTGGGGAACAAAGGCCTCATCAGGCTTCTCATTGTAGCCTTCTGATGCGAGATTTATGACATTTATTTGATGTTTTTATATTCTTCTTGGAGCGTCCAGCATGCCTCAATTTTTGTGAAAGGGGATAAATATTATGGAGGCAAGGGAACCATGAACGTCTGGAACCCTAAAGTTCCACAGGACGTGGAATGGAGTGTATCTGCAATTTGGGTTATGAATGATGCTGATAAACAAAAGCTCAATGCAATTTTTGCTGGTTGGCAGGTAAAATAAAAAACATAAGTTAAGCATTAGAAAGCATATGAACATATACAAACGTATTTTGACTTGCTGGTTTACTTTTTGCACAATCAGGTGAATCCATATCTATAGGGGGGATAATCGAACCAGACTTTTTACATTTTGGACTGTGAGTTCCAACTTCCAAGTTCTAGCAGCCCCACAATTATATTCTTCTTCTTGCTTTTTAAAATTAAATTTCTTTTTGGTAGTGTCATTGATATTTTCTTAATATTTGTGATATGAAAGAATCATAATGATAAAAGCTCAGGATGTTATGATCTTCGTGTTCTGGCTTTGTCCAACTTAACGCTGGAATAGCCGTTGGAAGCACCATCAAACCCTTATCTGTATACATTGACACAAATTCCCAGTACGATATCACCATTGATCTGGAAGGTACCATTTTTTGTGATATGAAGAATG